TCCATGCTACTAGTTATATTTTTCTTCTATGCTTCTTATGCATATGTGAAGATTTTAAATTAAAAGTCTTCACTTAACCTAATTCAGTCATATTTCAAGTAGTTTATGAATAAGGGCTTTAATAGTTGTTCTTTTTTGAGACATTAAAAAATTTACCTTTTCAAATTTATTTTTCAGAAGAAAATGTTACTTGATTTAAAAGCAATCTAGTTTTTAGCTAGTTCTCATGCTCAATATTTACATGTATATGCGCATTTGAATATACGTATACATATATGCACATATATACATACATAAATGTGATTGGAAACACAGTCAAACACAGTGGAGCAAACTAATGCCACAGCCATTAGCCTGTGGTTCAGGTCTTGCCTGTCCCTTTTGAGTTTTATTTGTCTTACAGATTTGTGTAGTGAGCATTGATTAGTACTCTGTGGATTCTTTCTGCTTTGGATACTGTCTTCAACTCATAGTACATATGAGTCTATGTATTAACGGTTTTTTAATACCTAAATTTAACATATAAATAGTTATGTTTGTTTCATGGCTCAATAATAGAAATACAGAAATATCATGCTTTAAGAACCATATAAACTAATGACGAACAGTATTAGGAAATTTTTGGTGACTGCTTTCTTAACAATGTGCAAAATGGTGCTTTTGGGGTTCGGAAAAGGGAGCAGCTGCCTGAGAGTGGTAGAAGAAAACACAATGGCTTTACTCTTGTTTAGTAGAGCCAGGGTGATATAGACCAGGATTCCAGAAATGACAAGGCACATACATATCCAGGGAAGAATTGAAGTATGTCGACCCGATTGCATATTGGGTTTACATTGCTCCGAGGGTGAATAAAGTACAATTCAGTGGATATATATTTTGAAGCCTGATTGTTGGATGATCTGTCAGTTATGTTTGGAAGTACTGGAATAGTAACAGAAGCAGAGAATTGCATGAGGTAAACTATATGGATCTGTTAAGCTGTCAGAGGGGACAGTATAGGGTATACAAATAAAGAGGTAAGACAGACTCATTCATAGACGAAAGCATTTGAGACTGTCAAAAGACAGTTCTTTGAGGCAGAATTTGTGTTTTTGATGTGTCTATCCATTGGGACTGGGCACCGTTAATTCTCTTGTTCCCTACATTTTGATCAATTATGGCTTTCTCTAATGATCCCCATTTGTTTCAAGGAGAAATTTCCATGATGAGACATTAGAACTATACTTATTTGTCGGGAAAAGTGATAAATATTTATAATGTAGTTAGGGATTTTGCTGGTTAGTAAAGTAGTGGTTGTAGGTTTTCATCTGATATTCATGACTTTACTAGCTCTGGGTAGTTGGCTAGGTCTCATTACCAGTGCCAAGATCCCTCCCTCCCTCCCTCCCTCCCTCCTTCCCTCCCTCCCTCCCTCCCTCCCTCCCTCCCTCCCTCCCTCCCTCCCTCCCTCCCTCCCTCCCTCCCTCCCTCCCTCCCTCCCCCTCCCTTCCTGTATATACATATTTATATGTATACCCATACATATATACACACAGCTAATATATTGATTGATTGAAGAGGTTATGTTTTTATATCCAGGAATATATAGATCACTATATCATATTAAAATTCATATAGAAAACAAGGGAGTACCTAGAAGATGTTGGAGTAATGTGGACCATGGGATGGGGGTCCAGTACCCCTCCCTCCGATCTACTCCAGAGTAATAAATAGAAAGCCTCAGAGTAATGGGAAAGATTCTTATCTGAGGGTTACTAGACCTTTCTATATGAGGGGAAAAATAAACAAGCACACACTTTCCACTGGTAATCTAAGAAAAAAGACACAAGCATACCTGGGGAAATGACCTTATGTATGTGTCTCTAGGGGCAACCAGACTGCTCTGAATTTGCTGTGAAGACTAAGCTTAGCTTGGATGAGAGACTGTTTTTGTGACTGAGAATTATTTCTATTCATCAAAATTATGCAGTCTAAGTATCATCTTCTGGGTTATCCACAGTTATACTTGTGCCCAACATGTATAACATACACAAGCAAAGAAGCCCACAGCTGTTCTTAGTAGAGAGTAAGTAAAGGCACTCAACAATGTTATGGACAGGAACAACAAGTCACTCATTGTCAGTAACCCTACCTGCTTTGTTAAGTAGGGCTTCCCCAAATGTTTGGTGACTCGGCTTTGCCAAGTGGCTCCCCAACAGTGTCTAGTCGGTAGACTTACTAAAAATTAGTTGTCACTGCTGTACATTCCTACAGCCCTCTTCAGTGGACGGAGGAAATAGAGGATGAAAATGGTTTAATTACATTTTAATTAAAAATTATTAAAGCAGCCCTGCATTAAGCCCAGAGGCAACTGATGGGAAAAAGTCTGTAATAATAAAAAGGTAATTTTAGGAATAGCTGTTTGTATTTGCAAATGATTTAAGTTTTAGCAAAGTTGATTTTGTCAGTGAAATATGACTGTAATAATGATGTCAAACATACACTCATACACATGAGAATTTGTGAGAGACATCAGTAGGAAACCATATCATCGCAAAGGAAACAATAGATGTGTAGCCTACTTTTAAAACTTTGGAACTTAAAGGCAGAAAAGTATTAAAGATTACAGATATCACATAATGACCAAAGATAAATTTTGTTGAGAAGATGGAAGAAGGATCTCTTTGTAGACAGAGATAAACTAGGGGAGAGAAATAGCCCAACGAGCAGTGCTGCAAGGCAATAATTCAGGGATGTTACTGATGTGGAGAAAGAACACTGGGCTTGGGGAATGCCTGTGACTTATGCCTCCTTGGGCAGGGATTTATCATGCATGCCAGCTTTTGAATCCTGGGACATTAAGGGCCTTACAAGAGTTAGTTGGTTTAGTGTAGTTTTGTTTTAGCAGGAGCCATTTTCTATTACATTGGTATTAAGGCCAAATCCTGATTGACATAGTGAGTTGGTAAAAACCTTCCAATGCTTGCGTCACTTTAAATTATTTTTGAGTTTTCTAGCTTTCTTTTGATCACAGATAGCTGAATATCTTACTAGCTGCTATCATAATCTACAGCTTGATCAAGTTCCTAATTGGAGTGGTTCATAGAGACTCAATTCAGTGTCTTCCTGATGAGGATAGTTGAGTGATGTTTATTAGAGGTGATTTTTGTTACTATATTATTTTATGGACTTGCTGGATAAACAATCTAGTGGTCTCATAATTGAAGCGTTTTCCCATTTTGCTAGAATATTTTATGGTCTTCCTGTACAATTTTTATCATACAGAAGCTATTGCTACCTGTAGGACTGTTCTTAAAATGAGCTTGAATGTTTAGAACTGTGGAGCATCCTAGTCCTAAACACAGGATTTGGAGTCACTCAAATCAGGTTGAAATTGGAACATTTGAAATTTTACTTCTTCAAGTACAAAATAGAAATTCAGACCTCAGAGATTTGAGACTTAAAAGAATGCTAATGTTTAAAAAGTGGTGTTGTACGCCTTTAATCCCTGGGCTTGGGAGGCAGAGACAGGTGGATCTCTGTGTGTTCGAGACCAGCCTGTTCTACACAGCTATGCAGAGAAACCCTGTATGGAAAAACCAAAACCAAACCAAACCAAACCAAAACCAACCAACCAACCAAACAAACAAAACACCTCAAAACACAAATTTTCTGATATTTAAGTGCTGAGTAGTATGTGTTCATTTGTTTATGGAAAAGGCTTAATCACTTTCAATCTTACTAAATAACACTCCTAGGCTTCCAAAAGGTTTTTTTTGATGATGATATTTAAAAATAGAGTTTAATGGTCAGATGTGACCTTGATTCTCAGAAAAAACAATTTCTGGACTCATGGGTAGTTTTTCTATGCAAGAAATGAGAAATGAGTTTAACTGCTTTTGCTTTATTAGATATTCTTATAAACTATTGTGCTTTCTGTTCCAAATTTCTTTTCCTTCCTTCCTTCCTTCCTTCCTTCCTTCCTTCCTTCCTTCCTTCCTTCCTTCCTTCCTTCCTTCCTCCCTCCCTCCCTCCCTCCCTCCCTCCCTCCCTCCCTCCTTCTCACCCTCCCTCCTTCTCACCCTCCCTCCCTCCCTCCCTCCCTCCCTCCCTCCCTCCCTCCCTCCCTCCCTCCCTCCCTCCCTCCCTCCCTCCCTCCCTCCCTCCCTCCCTCCCTCCCTCCCTCCCTCCCTCCCTCCCTCCCTCCCTCCCTCCCTCCCTCCCTCCCTCCCTCCCTCCCTTCCTTCCCTTTCTTTGAGGCAGGGTTTCTCTGTGTAACAGTCCTGACTGTCCTGGAACTAGCTTTGTAGACTAGGTTGATCTCGAACTCACAGAGATCTACCTGTCCCAAGTGCTGGGATAAAAGGCATGTCCCATCACTCCCTGGCTAACAAATTTTTAGTTTGAGTGTGTTTAGAATTCAGTTAACCATAGTTGATCTATCATAGGCTCCAATCTTTGTGTTGCTCTTTTCCTCTTTTGAAGATGAATAGCGGTTCTAGTAAGTCTTTGCAGGTTGGGAGCGTCTCACTTCCTAGCCCCGCTTTACAGGCCTTCCTCGATAGATTTGCTGGCATGCTTGTCTACAGTGCTGGCAGAGTGAAGCGTCACAGCGTGGACTCTGGCATTAGTCCACCAGGGACTATTGTGCAGCTCGTGAATTTCTCTGAACCTCACAACCTAATACATCTAAATACATTAGTACCTTATCTAGAGCACAGTAAGGCCTCAGTAAATATGAAGCCATTGCTGCTTATGCTGCTGTACTTTGGAATAATGCTGAGTAAAGAGTAACCTTGACTAATTCACTCAGCATACTACCTGGCATGTTGCAGTGCACACAGCGTCCTGTTCCTTGTGAATTGCTAACAAATATATGCTGTTTTAGCGGTAATAAAGCCTTCCTTATGTCTCTGACTAGATGAGTGAACGTCTAGGTTAATATATTGTGGGATGGGCTTTTAGAGTTTTTTTTGTACAATAGCACATGTGTAAATTCAGCTGTTCATCTAATTGTACAGATGCTGTTGACTGAGTACTTGGACATGAAAAACACACGAACTGCATCAGAACCATCAGCTCAACTAAGCTATGCCAGCACCGGACGGGAGTTTGCAGCATTTTTTGCCAAGAAGAAACCACAGAGGCCAAAGAATTCTCTTTTCAAGTAAGTATCAGGGTATGAGAGAGATAGGATAGCAAACTGTCAAGAGTCAGCTTCTACTTCCTCCACAGCCACACACTTTCTAGCGGAAGCTCCTTGGAGCAGTTCGTAGGTAATGTACAGACATCCTGTTCGTCTCCTGTTGCCTTCTGTAAGGTGGAGTGGCTGTGTTGGAATGCCTATTGGACTACATAACTCTGAGTATATATTTTAAGCTTGCTTCTGGAGAGTTTTTTTTTTGTTTTTTTGTTTTTTTTTTACAAAATTAAGGAAAATGAAAATTCCCAGGTGTTTCTGGAGAAGTTTATAGGAAATGAAATATGTCATCCCTGAAAAATCCCAAGTGCCAGGAAATATTCGTTGTTAGTAGAGTTATGCAGCTCTTCCTAGTTAAGTAGTATTGGGCCTTATGTGGTTTGATCCTTAATAAAGAAGTCACCCACAAGTCTTAACTTTTTCTCAGTTACCATGTTAGTGAGCTCTCCCGGGCGCATGTGTTTCTTGGGACCAACACTTAGCACGTATAAGTTAGGAGTGATGTTAATAATGCTAATGACTGGTGCTGGTGGAATGTTTTATATGTACAGATGGTACACACTAAGTGAGCTTGTCAGATGGGTCCATCTGAGCAGTTAAATTTGATAGTAACAAAATTCCAGCAACTGTAGCCACAATGCGGAGTCTTTGTTCCTTACTTAGTGCTATAAAATAAAAAGTTCTCACAAACAAGAACTATTATATGAGAGAAATTAAGTAAATTATGTGAAGTAATAGCTAGCAAGTGGTAGTGAGGATACAAACAAGGAGTCTCTCTCTATCCAGTTCTTGTTGAAAATAAAGAGCCTTAACTGAGAAATCACAGTAGACTGTAGAGGCAGTGGTTTCTTCCCCATCCCACAGAGATAGATACTTGGATAAGGACATTAGAAACAACACTTGCAAGGGCCAGTGTGCTTGTGCCCTGAGCTTACCCATATCCATCTCTTGTTCTCATCCCTGAATTTGAATGATAATCTTCATAAACCATCACAGCATTTTATTTAAAAAAGGAAAATAAAAGAAACAAGCGTATTGTATACATTTTATTAATATAATGTTTTACTTAGTTTTTAAACTTTTGAAATTTGCTTAATCGTTGAATTTGAATATAAATTATGAATACAACTTTAAAAGCCATAAAACATAGATGTGCATTATAAGTGTGTGTGTATGTGTGTGTGTATGTGTGTTTATGTGTGTGTGTTTGTGTGTGTGTGTGTGTGTGTATGCACACTCTCCCCAAGCTTAAGTCATTTCAGTGCCCTTCTCTCTTTTCAGCCTTGCACTCCTGTTTTGGGTGCATATTACTTTAGTTTTCGTTTTCTTATGCTGCTCCATGTGCTTCTTTCTCCTTCCCTCCCTAGTCCTCCCTGCTTTGATAGCTACATTTACCCTTTACGCTATATGCTTTTTCTTTTTTGTGATAAACACTTAATACCAAAAGCAAATTTTGAAGGAAGGGGCTTATTTGACTTCAATTCCACATTAGTTCATTATTGAGGAAGTTAGGGCAGAAAATGAGGCAGGAACTATGAAGAGCAGGATATCACTGCTTACTGATTTGTTCTCTCTTTCTGGGTTTCTTACCCAACTTTTAATACAGTGCAAGCCTACTTTGCTAGGCATGGTAACATCCACAGTGGGCTGGGCCCTCCTACACCAATTAGAATTCAAGAAAATGCGTGAAGGCCCATATATGATCAAGGCTTTTCTTCATAAACATTCTCTTACCCCTGGTTTTTGTCTTATTGACAATAAAAGTTAACAAGTATACCATTCTGTGCTTATTGCCGAAGGCAGGCTTCAGGGTTTTAAGATGTCATACTGTCAACCAACTTTCACTGTCTTCAGCCTCAGACCATTCAAACACATTCAATCTTTTAACATTGGTTAAATTGTGGTATAGGGGTGGAGGGGTGGGAGTGGGTGGGTGGAAAAGCTCCTAATTGTTAGAAATGAAAAAAAGTTAATTTAAATAATTGTTATACATTTATTATTATTGATTAGTAATAAAACTCATCCTTGTTCCAGAACTGGACAGTTATACAGATCTGTTCACTTTTAGCATGCTTCCTCCATTAATTAGCCATGCAGGCCCAAGTAGGTCTCATTTCTGAGCATGCCTCAGTGCCTTTGGCTATAAAATAAGGAGGTGAGACTGAAGAATCTCTGAAGCCTCTTTTAGTATAGAATTGTCTCAATCTGTGACTTGTTACAAGCATAAAGAGAATTCATGAATAGCAAGTCTATCAAGTCATAAAAGACTCAGATTGTGGAGAGCTGTAATCTGTTTCTAGAGAATCTGTGAAGGACTTTATTACCCTCTTTAATTGCCCTTCGCCAAGGTTAATTGTGTTTAAGTTCTCTCTTATTGTACATCATGTGTTTCTTCTTTGCTTGAGAGTTTGTTTTTTCCTCTGCCATCTCTGATCAATAGCTGTCAGCATGCCTTGCGGAGGTCATTGGCTTCTCTTCTGCACTTGACGGGCAGGTGGCACTTTTGAAGTACTGTACACTTTGCCTTCCTTCCGGCCTCTTGTGCCTCTTAGTTCCTGGTAGGGTGCAGAGAGCAGATGAAGTAACTGAAGTATTTCCTTCACAGGCTGATGCTCGTCTTGGTATTCATCTTCCTTGTAAGGACTGGATAAAAGAGACATCCTTAGGAAAATGATCTCCTTTCTTGTCGCCAGTCACTGAGCCTGTGGACTCTGTTGCTCTCTCTCTATGTTGTTGACCCTTTAGTGGCTAAATCCTTAGAAGGATTCTTTCTTTTGTCAGCTTCTTATCCTGACTTTGAAAGTCTCAGATTTAAAATGGAATCTTTTACTCATCAAAGGATTTGTTATTTCAAATAGTCATAATTTTACCTCATTTTATTCTTACCTGTAAGCTATTCCTTATGAATAATTTGTTTTGTGTTCCTTGTTTTAGCTTTTAGAGAACCATTCTTTACAAGGTTGTTTACTATCTTTCTGACCTTTAAATAATTCCTGGAAAATATTTTAGGTGGTGCTAAGTGGCAGACCAAAAAACTAGCAACCATTTGGAAACAGTCTTTTTCGGATATTTAGAGAGAGACCAACAATGGTTTGCCTTTTTTTTTCCATTTTTATATTTACTTATATATCAACTCCAGTTTCCCTTCCTTCAACTCCTCCCACTTCATCCCCCTGCCTCTGCACCCCTCAATCCACTCCTCCTCTGTTTCTGCTTAGATGGGGTAAGGCCTGCCGTAGGATCAAGAAGGCAGGGAACATGAAATACCTTGCTTTTTTGATGTCACTGTTCATTTGTAGAATCTCCCATGGGCTAGTCTTTTAACTCAAAACTTCAGGAAGAGAAATGCTCTGAATTGCCAGTATGTCTGCTGAGGCAGCCAGTATTCAATGATAGGTTTTGATTTGGGTAATAGCATAATTAGAATGACTTTGCAGGGTATACTTGTTGCTGTATATGTAAGCATCCTGGCAAAAAGATGACAAGAATTGCGGTAATGATAATCTGAAAGTAAGCCACTTCGAAGGTAGGTCAGGATTATTCTATGTGACATGTACAATGAGAACAAGGTTCAAATACTACTGTAGAGGAACAGTAGCAGGGATATTGCTAATAAACCATGGATTCGGTAGCTGTGTCTGGCTTTTTTGTGTTATCCAAAAAAGCCATAATTATAATTGTTATACACCAGGAAATGTTATACATACCAGAATGCAATAGAATAGAATATTTGGGGAATAGATATTTAGATGCCATTCATGTGGCTTAACCATGTGCTACTGTGTATTGCATTATAGGTTTGAGTCATCCTCCCATGCTATCAGCATGAGTGCCTATCTTCGAGAACAGAGAAGGGAACTCTATAGTCGGAGTGGAGAACTTCAAGGTAGGTGATTGGACTTCTCTACAAAAGTCAGTTTTCTGGAGGACAATCCTCAATGTGTGTAGCATGTGAATTTGTTTCCTACACTCACAAATTTGTTCTTAGGTAATCCTGTAACAATATTATTCCCCAACACTTGCTGTCAAGCTTCTAAAACTAATACTGTGCCTACAAAGAATGTATTGCCACTGAGGTAGGAATTCTAAACAGGTGAGATGAAGTTTACTTGAGGCCAGTCACAGTTAAGGAGGATGCTAGTCTTTTATGGTGGCCACTGTGGTTTGCATTTGCTTATTGTTTTTGTAGCCTTCTGGAGTATTACAGGTAGAAAGGGGAGGCTCAGCTTTTGGTGTGTAAAGAGCACATGGATGCTTCTGGATAGTCTGGTTTAAGCATTGTAAATTGATACATAGGCTACTTGGAACCCATTTGTGGTTACTAAAGAGTTTTATTTTTCAGAGGAAATTACTTTGAAATAAATTATAATATAAATAAAAGAAAATTTGAGGTGATGACATTTCTTTTAGTGACAAAAAATAGATATTATCTTAGATTTCTGTTAGGGTTTCTTTTGCTGTAAAGAGACATGACCATGGAAACTCTTATAATGGAAAACACTTAATTGGGGCTGGCTTGCAGGTTCAGAGATTTAGTTCTTTATCGTCTTGGTGGGAAGCATAGAGGTGCACAGGCAGACATGGTGCTGGAGAAGGAACTGAGAGTTCTACATCTGGATCAGCAGGCAGAAGGAAGAGAGTGACACTGGGCCTATCTTGAGCATCTGAAACCCTAAGCCCACCCTCAGTGACATACCTACTTCATCAAGGTCACATCTTGTAATCCCTGTCTGGTAGCATCATTGCCTAATGACCAAGCATTCAGATACCACATATATCGTCCTATGGGAGCCATTCATTTTGAACTACCATACTAACCGTGGTAAATGTAGTCTATGAAGAAAGATTTGTCAGGGTCTCCTAAGCATTGTAAGTATTGGGAGAAACAGAAGTCAAATTCAGAAAAGTTTAAGATGGAGCCTTAAGGTCCAGGTAAGATAGTGAGACCTGTGTGAACATGTATATATTATGCACATTCATCCCACCATATCTGTACATTCTTTATAAAGTTGTATCTGTACTGAACATGTGTATGGCTCTGTTGTTATGGCCTAAATAGGGCAACTATTTCTTTGGCATTTATATTATATTAGGTATTATAAAATAACGATGAATTGAAGTAGCAATAGAGGATATTTGTAAGTCATGTGTAGAATGTAGCTCTTATATTATTTTATGTAAGATTTGAACATTTGTGGGCATTGTTTTTCCTGGGGATGACCATATACATATCCCAAACAGACACCTCAACAATAGTATGGGGATATACATGCTAGGCAGATTACATGAATAGAATTGCTAGAGGAGTTAAGAGAATGGAATGATTACTTTAGAACTCTAGACTTTACGAGAGATTGATGTGAAGATTTTACAGTCTTTGATGCACTGAACTACTTTAATTATTCTGCCGTGACTAGCCTACACAGTTACTTAGTTGGTGAGACTCATCATAGGTCTTCCTGAGAACACTAGGTAGTAACCAGTCAGCCTTTCTGAGTTTTAAGACTATCGCTTTGTTGTCCCATCTTCACCTCTATTTCTAACCTGTTAATTTGTAATAAAAAAAAAAACCTTGCTGTGTTCTCTCATATTTCATCATATTGATTGTTCAAGAGCATACTAACCAGAAGTAAAAGTCTAGAAATACCTTCTATGTGTTAGAATGAGATTGGCATAACAACATTTATTGATTATTAAGGTGTTACACATCCTGATATGCTTCCTGGAGTATAGGGCAGATAGGACTGAGAACAAAAGCCGTTGTGGTCCCTTCTGTCATGCAGAGCGTGGAGGACAATGTTGACACCATCTCTAGAATGTAGCTGCTTCTCAGGAGCAAGGCTGGAATGGCATAGTACACATGGGTTTGCAGGACTTGGGATCCTGTGTAAGCTACTCCTTTGGGATAGGTTATGACGCTAATGTGACATTCTTCCTACAGTCCTACTTTTGTGTGTGTGTGTGTGCCTACTCAATAGTTTAAATTTGCCCCCATAATTTTTCTGCATCTGCTTACATTAAAATCTGATCAGTATCAAGTCCCCCTCCAAAGCTAATTCTGGTTCATTTCATTTTTTAAAAAAGTAAGTAAATATTTCAGAGGGCTGTTTTGGGTCACTGCAAAATTGAGTAGGAATTAGAGAGCATGTGTGGGATGTCTGTCCTCAGCACAGTCTCCTCCGCTAACACCATCCCTGCTCCATACAGTAGTCTTGGGGCAGCAGTGCACCTGTCTGTCACTTGGGTTCAAGTGTTATTAGTACTAGTATGATCAGTGGCTAGTGCTGCATGCTATGTCTTAAGACGCTAAGGCTAGGAAGACCTTTGTGGTACAGCCTTGTGAACTGATTCTCAGTTGCTCTTTGTGGTCCGTGATCTCTTGAGAGACAGAATTTCTGGTAATGCAGAGTAGCTAGTTCTGGGTCTAGATGCCTACATTCAAAATGAAGCTCCCCACTAAGTCTTTGCTTTTGTTTTTGTTTACTTCTTAATGTGCCGTGAAGAGGCTGTGAAAATTTGGTTTTACTCAGTTTTCTCTCTGGAATGTGCACACAGATTCCATTTTTCCTGTGTCATCTTTCTTAGGCTATGTTTGACGTGATTTCCGAGTCAACGTTAGTTGGTCCTCATTCATTCTAGTGGGCTGCCTTGCCTCGTCTTGGCCTGCTTCAGACACACACACACATTCTTGGATCGTGGCCCCGTGTTGGCGCTTCACTGTCACATCCTTCTTTCAGGGTCTCTCTGTGAGTGTCCCCACAGTGTGCCGTGAGCCAGTGCTTGCTTGCCAGAGTTGAAGACAATGCTGCAAGCCCATGAGTGATATGTCATCCGTTTCTGGTGCTTCTTACAGTGCTTGTTAGCCAGGCAACTGTACCTAACCACTGACTGACTGTGCCAGAATGAATGAAGCCAGGTAAGGTGTGAGCTAGGATAGAGAGATCACGTGGTAGGAGAAGAACCCTAGCAGGAGATGTGACCACTGACAGTCTTTATCTTTCATGTAGGCGTACATGCTCTTTCAGTTTAAGGAAGAGGGACCACTCATGAGTTTTTGTCCTTTGAAGTTACTCTACCCATTAGCTTTATTAAGTAGAGAAGTTGCTCTTGTGCTGCCAGGCCCAGGAGGAAACTTGTATATATAAGTAGAGGGGGAAAGAAATAACTAAGTTACAAGACAGGAACTGGAAGCATCACTATAATCTAACTTTCCCATCCTTAAGGCGTTCACTGAAATGCTGGACTTTCTAGTGGAAGTCTGTTGTGATAATTGTGTTCAGCAGAGTTTTAAGAGTATCTTTGGTTATGAGAGAGAAAAAGTTGTTAGCAAATGTTCATGGTAGCCATTACAAAGTAGTGTAGTGTACTGGCACCTCATGTTCTTGGTGAGTCCATGGATCAGCTTTTGTAAAGGTTTGATGATGTTTGGTTCAGGAGCAAAAGTTTCTCTGATGAGTGCTTTTAACATTTCAGTAGGAAAAAAAAAAAAGAAGAAATCACCTATTCTCTATCTAAGAATGACTGTTTCTTTTCAGTTATTCATTAACATAACTGTTCCAAGGACCACAGCTTACCCTTGAAAAAGCCTAATTGAATAGTTCAGCCAAATCCTAAGAGACTGGCTAAGAATTCTTTCTCTTCTGTTAAGGCTTCTCCTCCCAGTGGTTTAGTTCATGGGGTCAGCTTTTCCTTCTGTTACAGGGGAGCAGCAAATAAATCAACCATAACAACCATCAAAGTGACATTAAAAAGCTCAAGTTTTACAAAGTTAAGTTCTTGCCAACATGTTTGATTTATCATGCAGTTAAAAATGTTACTCAGACTAACAGTGCACTAGGGGGAAAATGAATTTACAAATGAGATTTCTTTGGTACTATCAGCCCATCTCAGTTGGCTCTTACTATTATGGTACAGATGGTTCATTATATAGCCTGCCATTGGCAGTGGGGACTGAGGAGGTGGGGGTGCTACTTCAAAGTGTGTGTGATAACAGGTGGGATCTAACTTGTGTGTGTGTCTGCGTTAATCATTGGCTTCCTGTTGTTCTGAGCCTCTCTACTGCCTCATTGTACTGCTTGTACAGTGTTGTTGTAGATAAAGGTGGATCTTAGTTTCAATGAACATTTATCTTGAATATAGCTGTTTAAAATGTGTTAATGTGTAGAACACTATAATCGATTGAATACATTACCTTTTGAGGGTTGACAAAATCAAAATACTGCTACTTATGACCAAATAACTTAATTTAATCATTTCAGCTGTGCCTCATTTTCTGACACAACCAATAGAGATCTTTCAAATTCTGGCTACTCATGTAGATGCTAGGACTATTAAGTTAGAAGTTTATACTGTGGTAAAATTAGAATAATATCTATTTAAACTAAAGTAATGCATGAAGTATTAGCACTGAGGGAGAGTTACTTCTGCTTCATGATTCTCATGCTCTCAGCTCAAGTCCATTGAGCTGATGCTCCTTCAGGTTACAGTGAGCTCCATCCTACTGCATTTTGTAACTTGTTCTTTCAGCTGCTGTTTGCAGTTTTGACTCCTCATGCTTTCATGAGGTTTCTCAAGAACTTGATTTCTCAGTGTTTGGCCCTGAGATTTCTTCTGTATGCACCCTGTACCTCTCCTGAATTGCCATCACTCTAGTGAAGGCTTTGCCTAGTGCCTAGGAATAGTAGACTTCTATATATGTGTTCATTACATTACGGTTTCATGATCTCTAGCCTCCTGTCCCTCATCCTGTAATTATTGAGCACAACATTAAGAAATTTCTGTCATGACATTCATCTTCGGCATGTCTTGTTTATTTTTAACTTGCTAATCTATATCTACTTCCACCCAGATTTCAAATCTCACTATTTATTGTTACACTGCAATGCC